TGTTCTTTTCAATTATACTACTTGGTTCACGATATTGCTTCAGCGATAGCAGCTCAGACTTTAATTCGTGTACATCTTGCGCCATAGTCTTTATTGAGAACAGTTCTTGTCGCAGTTCATCAATAACTTGGAAAAGATCTCTTTTACAGGTTCCACAATCTGGGCAACTCCATTCAATGTGCCCAACCACCTTATCGGCAGTGTTGAGGCCAATACACGCAGAGTGGGCAGAAGCTTGACAACCGACGCATTTCACCGATTGGTTGGTTAAAGCGTTTTGACATACTGTACAGTGGAGAGACGACATATTTCAATTGTCTTGCTGGGAATTATTGGTCGTTTCCGCTCTAAAATGAGCTGGATTTTGGTAGATTTGTTTAAAGATATTTCCAAATTCTCTTTGTCATTCCCGCTCTAAAATGAGCTGGATAACATCCGGGAATTTGTTCGTGTCTTTTCTGGCTGTCGTAACCACTCTCAAATGAGCTGGTTTATCTTCTTTATCTGATTCTGTTTGTGTCAATTTCGATTTCCATCAACCGGATCTCTAAAATCCCTTCGTAGACAAGGGCTACCCAAGATAAGATGTTTATCCGGTTCGTCGAGACATATCTATCTATTTAATAAGTTTATCACAACAATTAGGCTAATGCGACGGAAAATCATGCGACGGAATTGATGCGACGGAAAATCATGTTTGGGCTAGGATTCATTTTAAAGCTTAGTCGATTTTATTTGAAGCAATTCGGTTGCTTTTTCAAAACAAATTGTGACTGTTTATATTGCGAAAGGAAACGTACAAGATACGAGCCAAGTTGACAACGTGAGACTTTAATTTACTTCAGGTAGCAAGATATAGACATACTTTCAAAATTTTTAAATAAAATATTTGCCAGTAGAAAGTTGTGTCTGTTATCGCGCTCAGACAATGAGGCTAATTCAGCCGAAAGTTTTCAATTGATTCAGTTACCGACATTTCACTCCAATTCGAGAGGGCGGTGAAATTTAAGTATTTAAAATATCGAAATCTGATGAAAAAAAATGTTTTGTTATCGTCTGAGACAAACTAAGCTGTAGATACCGTATTTTTTCTGGATAGTTTTTTAAAGCTTGTTTTCAATGTCCGGGTTTAACGCCATTTTTTGTTGTAAATTTATTTTTACTTTCTCATTTTCCAAAGATTTAATTTGCCAACTCAGTTTCGTTTTTGCACGAGCAATTGTAAACAAGTTTTTTTTTATAAGAGTTTCCTTTCAGTTATTTGTTACAGTCATAAATTAATAAATTCTAAGTAAGTCAAATATAATTGATGAATAATAAATGAGTTAAATTCTAGTTCATAAAGATCTTGTAGTAAAAGTTTCTACTAATTCTGAAGTTCGTCTGACTTCCTTTGTTTGCCTCTGAGTTTTGGCAAATGGCCCAAAATTTTTGTAATGAAGTTGATGAACGTTGTAAAATAAAAAGTAACGTTATGGCGTTCTAAAATAAAAAGAATGACCGGTAAAATGGTAATCTTAGAAGCGGTGCGTAAGCTTGTATTTGTATTTAACCCTAAAAGTGTTTCATCTTACGTTATACCATTTTTCAGTGCCCAGAAGTAACAAAGTTAGAGCTCAAAAAATAAGGATGGTTTTGTTTTTCTGATTTTTAAATGCGTCGTTACAATTGTTCGGAAATTTGTGTTTCAGATTCGCAGAACGTAGTTCGAACTCTTAAATAGGTTGTAATGATTTTTAAAGATGTCGACGCAGGACTTCGATTCAAATTTTTGTGGTTTGACTTTTGATTTCTTTTTTAGTTAAGTTCATTTCCTGTTTTGAAAGGGAGGCAAACTCCACTATCAAAAGTTAAGATCATTTCCTGTTTTGAAAGGGAGGCAAACTCCACTATTGAACAGCGAAAGTGTAAAGGTCATGAAAAACGTGATTGACTTCTAATTTCAAAAAATTTAATTTGATTATGAGAGTTTCCAGCGAATTAAAAGAGTAACCTATTGGTCCTGTTTTTTCAAACTGATTTATTTTTATCAAAAAACTGTCAATCATTAATTGTTCTAGAAATTCAGTTTAGAAATTAGGTCATCTTTTTTTTCTCGAAAAATCGAATTTTGATATATTTTCTAAAAATTCAGTATTATTTTGTTTACTTGCGTTTGTTGACTCCTTTCCAGCGGTCTGTTGGCTATGTTTAATTTTGTTTTTATGCAAAGTTGATATTCATTTAACAAGGATCTCAACCAGGTTTTCTTCTGTTTTGCGTTTTCATAAATGACCTACTTGACTCATGAGTTTTTTTCTGATTATTTCATTTTTGCTGATGATCTTAAAATCTTAGCTGTAAACGAAAATAAATGGCAAGAGCAGAAAGATCAAGGTGAAATACAGAACTGGGTTAAGTTAAATAAAATGGAACTACCAATTATCAAATGAGCCAAAGTATTTTTTAGAAGAGCAGTCCCCTGCTACAAACTGATGGGCGCGAAACTAAAAGAACTGTCTTGGAAAAACCATCTTGAGTAACGTTTAAGGAAAGCTGATAAAGTCTTCTACATGCTCAGAAGAAATATAATATTAGGCTTAATTTTTTTTATCAAATTTTGTCTTTGAAAATATTTTGTACTGCCAGTCTTTTTATACGATGTTTCATGCTTATCTGCGTCGAGAACAAACCATCTTTCTGAACTTTTCGAAAGAAAGCGTTCGAATGGATAGAAGAACAAAAAAGTTGAATATGTCAATGAATTGCGAATCCTCAACATTCTTCCATGACCAAATGGTGTTTCTCCAAATGAACGATATCTTGCTCATTTCAAAATTTATAAGAAGGAAGCGATTGTATCATATCACCGAATGAACAAATTTCGTCTCCAGAACGAATGAAACTTTTTATCTACCACACACGAGGACAAAAAAGGCTAGAATGGAGTTTACTTTTAGATCATACAGATTCATAAACCAAATCAAGAAATACGTTGACATTCTTATGAACACACTGAAAAAAAAAGATGATGGAACTAATGTGGAAATTTGTTAACGAAAAATTTTCAATAACAAACGGCTGCACCTGGAAAATCTTTTGCGATTGTAACAAAACTCGGTTTCTTGGATGAATACTTCAGAACTCGGTCATATGGTCATATTCAAAGTAAGCTGAAGTTTTTCTTGTTATCCATCGTGTTTGCGTGATATATTACAATAGGTGGCATGTTAAGTTTCTCTTTACGAAACAAAAATTCTTCTAGCGGAAAGCAAACTCGGACATCTGGTTCTTCAGGCAAGTGTGTTATGTACCACCCAATCTGCAAGAAAAGTTAAATTATCAACCAGCGTAGTTTGCTGCTCACAATAGTAACTTGCTGCTCACAATCTTAGTCACTAAGTGGAGTAATATTGTTGAAATTGGAGCGTGAACAAATAATGACCTTGAAGTGGATACTAAATTCTGACTGCGATGACAAAGAGACTACTTGAACTCGATTTTTAACCCTTAAGCCTTTGTCGAAATGCACGGTCTTCTTTTGTATTTATCCCTGATTGAAATCAAGAATGTCGTATCCATGAAAGTTCAAACCTGTAGCTCTGAGAAAACCTCCCAGCACAGTAGAGGCGCATACTTAGTCAGCAATGAGAGACTCATCAAAACCGATAAAAATTGTTTTCATAGAACAAAAATATTATACACTGTCATCAAACATAACGAAATGCACGGAAACCAATTTGACAACGAGTTGATTGGCTTTTTAATTGGCATTACTTTTTGCCACCAATTGTAATATATCAACCGTTTTTAATCCAACTGTTATCAAAGCAGGAAGGAATTCAAATTTTGTTCCATATGTATTGCTTGCTCAAAATCAGATAAACCAAATAAATCGCTTCTATTTGAATTACGTATTAATTTTAAGCATTTTCAGGTGCAATTGAAATGCATAAAAAAAGATAACGACGAACAATTTATAATCAGCTATTCGTAGAGTCTTACATGCACTATCACGCCAAAATTTTGTTTATAACAAAGAGCCGGTCGGAGTTCCATGCTATCATTTTTTTTCGACCACGTCATGAAAAGACTGGAAGAAAATACGGCGTAGGGTGGGGTTCTCCGGGCACTTTTGACTACCTCGAGAAAAATTCTCACGAGGGCAAGTTCGGTATCATTTGAAAGCTCTTTCAGCTGTGATGTTAAAAAAAGTTGTGGCAGTGTGAAAAATTTGTCTGAATTATCCGTTTTCAAAATAAATAAGATTGTACAAGAATTTGCAGTCATATTTTAACTATAAGTACGTTTTAGAGAAGCAAGGGTGTTGCGAACGAGTACTAGGCCTTTTTCACGTAATTAAGTGTGCTCACAGAAATCGTATGTGAAAACGTTACACCTTTTCTACTTGCTTTGTTAAACGTTCAAATTCAAAGTTTTCAAATTCAAACATTTTCTGCATTCGGAGAATTGGTAACTCCCATGCTTGAGACGACAAAGCCTGGGACTAGATTTTTTTGCAAACTGAAAAACTGCTTTTTAGGCTATCTTCTGTCTGTGTATTTTTGTCGTCCCTGTATCCGCAGAAAGGGCTTGTTTGAAGGTTCGGCGTCTTTTTAGCATGCCGAATCTTCTGAAGTTTTTACTGGTACAGGTAATTTTGTTTCTGGATTTTTTTGGCTTTTTTGCAATTTATATTTATTTGGTGACAAACAAAATTTTTTTTTAATGGTTTATCTTTTTTTATTTGTCTTCTCCTTTGCGTTGAATCATAGTCATTCATTTTTGTTTCGCAAAGGGAGCGAAGCTCAGCTTCGCCTCTGTGTACACAACATGTGTTGTCTTCAGTTGCTAATACCTTTCATTGATGCAGTTTTGTTTAACCTTATGATTTAAAAAACCTTGAATTTTTAGAAATAAGACTGTTTTTAAAACAAATAACGAGTATTTTTTCTTTTTGAAAATAAGTTCTTCCCTTTCTTAAAACTCTGAAGTGTTTAAAGTTCTTTGATGACTCTTCCAGATAATAGTGATAGATAGAGAGTGATGAATACGGGCAGTCTTAACTTCAAACAGTTGGCGGGAGATGCGACCAATCTGTTCAATCGGGCAGTGCAGTTTACTAGTGAACAGATAGTGGGAGGAGAGAAGACGGAGTATGACTCACAACTGGCCACTCTCATCAAGACAGCAGACAACACCAAGGACTGGACTGAAAAGGCAAGCACCAGTAGTACTGGTCAGAGCAAAATGGGGGGGGGGGGTGGGTGGGGGCATTAAGGCAGATTGGTAAGGATTATAACCCCGATCCGGCCCCCTACAGAAAAACTATGTCCCACACGCCATACCCCAAACTGGGATTTTTGTGTTTTTTGTTCTTAATGGAGAAGAGCCAGAGTTGGCTTCGTAACAAAACAGGAATATATTGTTTGTTTTTGCTATAAAATGAACCAATACAAAGATCCGATGAAATATTTGGCCTCGATTGCGCTTTGAGCTATATTAAATTATAGGTTACTGTTTTCACAATTTTTTTTGCACTGGAATTGCTGTTGGCTACTATGTACTAAAAGGAAGAGACGAACTAATTAGCGTTAAGTGAAGAAGGTACTGACGACGAGTCTGATGTTAAGGTAGTGTCACAGAGTGAGACTCTGCTGCAACCCAACCCAGCCTTGAGGGCAGAGGCCTTCGTGAACAGTGTGTTCGACAGGAAAGTGCCCGAACACATGACAATCACTGAACAACTCGGATGCTACTTAGAGGACGCAGGATCCGACCTGGGACAACACACCGCATATGGAACGCTCCTCAAGAGTAAGCAAATTTGCCGTGACTTCAAAGTATTTTCCTTAGCCAGCCGTAATATAGCCTTGTCTTATTATCAACCGATTTCAAAGAAAATGTTTCAGCGACGGGAAAAATTGGTCTGAACTTTTCCATTTTTCAAACTAAATTAAGCTAATTTTCATGAGAGAATGAACTGTTGTAAAAGTGGAATGTATTTTTACTGCAATATTTAGGTTATTCTAGCTAATTTTCATCTTTCGTTGTAGTTTTTGACCGTATTTAATCTCTCTCTACTAAAAACAGAAGTTAGGAAGAAGGATTAAAAAAAGACGTTTACCGGTTGGAAATTTAATGCACTTTGGCCCGTCTGCCGTAATATGAACACCACAACCATATTATTCGTTGTTTTGTTGATAGCTTGTGGCCTGACGGAGCGGAAGCTGGGCGCGGCCGAGCGGAAGTTCCACAAGGAGGCACTGGCTAATTTTGTGTCTCCTCTAAAGAACTACCTGAACACTGAGATGGCGGCCATGCAGCGGGAGAAGCGCATTCTGGACACGAAGAGACTGGACCTGGATGTGGCTAAAAACAGAGTGCGCAAATGCACCAAACCAGCTGAACTGCCGGTAAGTATCATTACATCACGCCACACCACAACAAATCATCTTACTAACTCTAAATGTAGTTCATGTGGAAACCTCATTTCTAATCTACGGGGAACTTGAGAAACATTCGTGGGTTAAAAGGGCTTGCATGTGGGGGTAAAGGCAAAAGAGTCCTTCCGGCTTTTTGTTTCAGTTGAAACTTTTTCTGATGAATTTCCGTGCCATTTTCTAAATTTAATCTTTGGTTATCGCTGTTTTGAAGAGCAAAAACTGGTTTTATGGTTTTCCATTATCTAAAGTTTTGAAAATAAATATCAAAAAGCTGATTCATTTTAGTTTTGCTTACATGGTTTTTATTTTTTTTTGCAAATTTTTGCTCGTAGATTTTAAGCGAAAACTTAGATTTTCAGGTTTTAAACTCCCAAAATTTGCCTGGTAGTTAAAATGTTTATTTTGGGTTTCACTATTTCTGTAGTTGCTGTTTTTTCAAATGTTTTTTTTTTACTGAATGATCGAATATGTTCTCCGCTGGCGTTGGTGTTCCGACCTCTCCTATTGGGAGAAAGAACAATGGCTTAGGATTTTTTCCTCATGATGAGATTAGTCAACGAACTGTTGTATCGTATTATTGTATTAACGCTCTTTAAGTCGTGGTTCGGATTCCAAAAAATAGCTTTACCTCAAGTCGACAAAAGTTGGTCTGTTACTGTTTTTCAGACTTGTGTACACGTCAGAATAATTTAGGTACCATGATATGCTGTTCTGTTTTACACTAACGAGATAACAACGAACGTAGTTTATTAGTATGGTTCTACTTTTTCCAAGCTAACTCGCCAATAAAAGTGCTCATTTGCTGGCATTTTGCTATTATCACCGATCTGTAGCAATGCAAATTTCATGGCATATGTTCTGTGCTTTATTTGAGGCTAATGTTTGAAGATCAGTAAGCGTCTGTGGCTGTGAGGGAAGAACGTGAGACTCCTAATCGCAAGGTCGCAGGTCCGAATCCGACACATGGCAAAAGTTTTCATAATTCGAGGCTTGTTTCTCCTTTTTTTTCTTCACTTTATAGAGCTGCTTTTCTAGCGCAGCTTCGCTTCTGTGTAGAACTTTACGTAATTAAGATGCAGCCTGTCAATTCCATTTTGATAGAAAAAAAATGATTGTTTTTTAAATTTTTTATTTGGCAATATCTCACACAAGCAAACGATTGTGGTATACTAATAGTCAGCTTTTTTCTAACCCAAGTTGAATAATTTAGGACCCTTTTCCCAAAAATGCCAAATTTAGTGTGTGCAGCTGGTATTTGTAAGTACCAGTCAATATATTAGCGGCTGGTATTTGTTTGACCGAAAATGTATATAGCTCAACTCCCAAGGCAGTGGAGTCTTAAAGTAGTAGGCGTAGGTGCGATTCCATTAAGGTCAATTTTTCGTTTTTCTGTTTTTCAATTATTTACTTTTTGTTCATGTTCTTGCTTATTGAAAACTCTCTTTGCCGGTTTTTGCTTGTGTTTGCGTTGTGCAGATTCGCTGGTTTCAATTTTTATCGCAATTTACTGAAACTCTGTTTCGCCTTTGTTCACTAATTTTTTTCAAGTACAGGATTCTTGTCCTGGTGATAAACAGGAGTGCGCGCTTATGTGCTTATGTTGTTAGTTGAGTGTGAGCAGAGTTTCCTGTCTAAGTGACTATCAGTGGGCATATTTTGCTTTTTTTTCCAATCCTCTGCTTTTCAGTGCTTGCTAACTCAATAATCTATTGTTCCGACCACTGAAAGTGGTTTGGTACTTTGTCGTCGGGTGTTTTAGTTTCTGGTTTTATCAAGCAAATTCATGTACCACAAATAATCAGAATATATCAGGAGTAAAATTCGAATATAATAGAACATCAAAAAACAAAGTCCTCACGCATTTTCAAAATAGATTGAGTTAATTAATCAATCAACATAGTAAGCACTGAAAAAAAGAGGAATGAGTTAAAGCAAAATATGCCCACTGATAGTCTACATTGTCAGGAAACTCTGCTCTCCCGCAACTCTAAAAACACAAGCACGCATTCTGCTGATTTATCACCAGGACAAGAATCGGGTAGTAGAAAACCAATTTCATAAAGAAAGGTGAAGCAGACTTGCGAAAAAATTGCGACAGTCGTGATTCGAACAGAGATTGAACGATAAGTTATAATTGTCGATAAAAACCATTTGTAATGTTTACTTTCTTGCTTAATTTTGTTCGAATAGGTGTTATATTGAGAATATTTTTAATTCTGAAAATTTAGTGTTACTCCAGTTTGTGCTTTATATGAGGCTTCCGTGGCAATAAACACTTTTAAAAAATGAATAAAAAAAAGCTGCAACAAATTTTGAAAGTTTTTTCTAGGAAATTTGAAAGTTTTTGAAAGACATCTGTAGCTTATTAAATCCATTGTGAATTTCTTGAGCGTTCACCACAAGGCGCACAAAAAATACGATTTAAATTTGAAAAAATTTAAAAAATAAAATGAATTTTCAGACTGTGGAGCAGCATCTGAAGGTGTGTCAGGATGAATTCGACAGACAGGCAGAGGTGGTGCGTCTTATGATGAGCGAAGTGCCCTCCCACCACAGAAGACATCTCACTCTCCTCAGACAGTTCGTCCAGCTGCAGACACAGTTCTACGCAGAGTGCTCCTCTGCTATGCAGGAGCTGGACTCCAGTCTCAACACCACCAACACACAGGATCCGAGGTACATATACTCCATTCAGTCAATGGACAAAATGAAGAAACATTCCTATAGCTTATAGCAAATATGTTATCCAACACTTAAAAAAAGTGTTCTAGATCAAGTTTGTCGCTCAATTCCTTCGAGCTTTTGATCCGCAATGACGTCGAGTTGATTTTGCATCCAGGAAACCATAAAAAAAATTAAGGATATCTTGAATGATTTCAAAATTTGGTAAATTTGAGGATAATTTTGTTACTGAAAAAACGAGTATGCACTAGTTCAGAATTTATTCCTGTGATTTATTAAGCCGGTGGCAAACTAGTAATTATCGGCCGAATTCTCAAGTTGTATTTCAGCTGCGCGAATGAAGCCGTGCTCGTTTGGTGGCGCTAAAGTTTGATGGTAGGCCAACAAGTCGAAGGGAAACAAGTCGAAAAAAGATAGCCATTCCAAAAAACGGAAAACATTGCATCATATCAACATACTGTTACTGTTGTAATGCCACTGATGCATAATTCTGATATAATTTCGGCTTCAAGATATGGAGGTTTGTAAATATGGGAGATTTTTCAACATCGTCGCGTTAGGTTTATGTTCCGGGTAGGAATTATGTAATTGCGTTAGTGTCAGCTAATACTGTGCTTTGATCAGGTATTTTCCCTCTGGCGGAGCTCCCCTCGGAAACACGATGAGTAACACCTCCTCTTCGGGAGGCACGAATGCTTCTAACGCAGGTGGTGGGGGAGAAGGAGTGGACATGCACTACACGAACAACGGGTACCTCTCATTCAGTTAAATCAACTGAACTCTGACAATCAGCGCCTACACGATACCATCATGTGTAGATATAGTACATGCAACACAGACAATTTCTATACACTAATGCAGACATAATTTAAACCCATGTTCTTGTAGAAGAAAAGGTTGCGTTAAGCTATTGCAGTTCTAAATTTGGCGGCGAGTTCAGCTATCTTAGAGTTGTGTAATGTGACTACTACCACCGCTATTGTGATCAGTATTTGATTCAATGAATTATCCAGTCAGAAAATTCATCATTCGCTGCAAAAAATATCTTTTTTTTCCTTCTCGCTTCAAATTTGGAAGAAGATTAGAACAACGTGAATATCAAATATCAAGCGAATCAAACTTCAATTTAAAGTATTGGTTAATTTGTTTGATTATGAATTATAACTTTTAAACGCTACACTTGAATGGATGTAAACCATAGTTAAATGTTCATTCCAAATTACTTTAGTCATCTGCGAATGGTTTAAACACGGGTTTTAAATCAAAATCGAGTATCTTCATTGCTCAGTCATTTCATCTGATTTTGTTCCGTTTTTTTTGTGCAAAAAATCAAAAAGTAATGCCGTCATATTTATTGAGTGCTGTTTTGTCTTTTTTATTGTTCTAGTTATAATTTATCAAATCAGCCCTTCTTCATCTATAATGTAGCTAGCTAGTGTACTTTTGATTCTAATATATTAATTTTAGCGTACGCCACCCTGTGCAATGAATCAATTTCAATCTTCTAAATCTAATTCAAATTGAAGTGATCTGCCATCACAGAAAAGATGATCAATCAGGTTTTTGATGGAGATATTTTTGAGGCTCTTTCACATTGGTGCTTACTTCTTTTGTAACCTTCTGTGAAATCGTTTCATTATGTCAGGAAAAAATATTTATAGACCCCTTCCTTATATAAAAATCAACATTTTATAAGTCGGAAGGGGACTGTAATTTAAAGTATCTTAAAAAACGTATGATTGAGTGTGCAGAAAAATGAAATTTATCCTCGATACGCCATAAAAACACACCGATATCCTTAAAAGTATTAGAAATTTGAGAAGAATCATACAGAAAAGAGAAAAGAAAAAATGTGTGGCTATTGATATGGACACATTGCGTTTTCGACTTTGATCGCTGCTTAGTCTTAGATTGCCAAATGAACTACTCTGAGCTTTTCTGCTGTATTACCCACCCACCCATTAGCCTTGATCTGAGTTGACTGATTGTGTTATATTGTGAAAATTGGATATTTATTCGCTTTTATACCGAATCAAATTAGAAATTTAATGTTTATGCTTCTTTTTTTCCCAAGTTTTAGAGCATCATATTTTTTTACCAATCTTCGAAAATCAAAATAAATCAGTGGATCCACATAATTTATAAATTTAGACTATAAAGCTTGAGCTCATGTTCAAAATAAAACTTGTTTAGCTGAATGGGTCTTAAATTTTATAGAGTTGTATTTCCTAAATTGCCCAAAATGAGTAGTCCAAGTAAACCTGAAGACAGCGATAGTGCATCAAGAATCGGGAGGAGCTGCTCTGGCTCTGCTCTGTCCAAGATATGCTTCAAGTTCAGTCTAGATAACGATGACATCTCCGTGTCCACCATTGAACATGTCTCATCAAGCTCACACGAAACAACAAACTGCAGAAGTTATTCGGGTCGCACTGAAGTGCCAAGAAATAATCAAAAGTCCGAAAAAGATGGATTTGCTTCAGTTAAACATAAGCTTAACAAAAATGGTAACTAACTTAAGCAATTGTCTATGTATTGCCAAAGTACATTGGGGAAATGGGAGGACGTTAAACTGGTAGTCTCTATGTCGGCGGTTCAGTTACGGCCGATGTAAAAATTATCTAAGCTTTTTTTCAAGACCCTTTTATAGGTATTGATGTTTTTTCGGTTTTTTCCAGGAAGTCATGCAATTGATTCATGCAAACTTTTTTTGATTTCTTTTTAACTTCAGTTCTTTTCCTTTAAAGGAAGGCAAACTGCACTATCGAACAGCAAAAGTGTAGAGGTTACGACTTCTAATTTGAATTTTCAGGATTCCTAGCGGATTAAAAACAATTGATTCAGTTATCTCGAATTGAGTTACTTCTATAAAAAGGCAACCATAAATTGTTTTGAAAATTCAAAGAGCTCCAAGGACATGTTTTTTATATAAAATTCAAAAACTACATTGAATTTCGAAAATTGAAGTGTTTTTTTTTAAATAAAAAATCCAGTTCTCCTTCGTTTCCTTGCTTTTATTGACTATTCCAACCCTGTTCGCAATGTGCTCTGTTTTTTTTGCTTGTATTCGCGAAAGGCAGTTAAACCCCTGTATTGCGCTCGTGAAAGCATTGTCAAATCGGAGAAAGACTTTTTAAGGCGGGTAGTTTAGTTTGTCTATGAAAATCACAAAATCATATTCTCAAACATGTACTTCGTGATACAAAACATTATCAAATCGGAGAAAGACTTTTTAAGGCAAGTAGTTTGTCTATGAGAATCACAAAATCATTTTTTCAAATCTTATTTGTGTAGAACGAAATCATCTCTAAGCAAAGAGATTCTGTTTTAGGAGGCCTGACGTGCTATCAGATCACAAATTTTCATGGACATTTCTTATTTCTGAATTTAGTGGTTTTTTAGCTATTTGTTTCTACTACACTTAATGTTTTCCTCTCGTTCTGTATCGAGTTTTTTCTTTTGAAATTGAAATAAAAGCAAGTTAATGAAATTTAGGATTTTCATTTTAATAATTAATAAACCATTCTGATAGCAAAAAAAAATAGACGACAGTTGTTTCACTTGCATTTTCTTTTGGATATATTTTTTTTCGTTTCAGTCAGTTTGGACATAATTCAGAGCCGTTATGGTCTCAACTTCTTGTGATATCTGAAACTTATTGTTGCTAATTTAGTCAAATTAAAGGCGCATCGAAGTTTTGGTTAAAAAAATGTAAAGTTTATCTATTTCGTCTGCCTTAAAAAAGTCCCACGTTCGGATTTGTTTGACCATTTATCCTCAACGCTTGCTGTTGTTTTCCGTCGCAGTTTTTCATCGAAATGAGTTTCTTTTTGAGACAAACATTTGCACATTTCGGGTGTTTTTTTGGCGTTTTTTTCAATATTTTATACGATTCGGTGGTTTTCTGTATGGCAAGTGGCGGATCAATTGTTTTGCCTGAGCTGTTTTTCTGAAAATAATTTTTTTTTCAAGACTGCTCGAGATAAGCATAGGCAAGTTTTGATAGAGCAATTGTTTCGATATTTAAGAAAGGTGCTATGTTTTGTACACGCGGCTCCCTTGTAATCTTATGTTGGCTAGTTTTTTTTGTTTTGCTACTGGTGCGAAGCGTGGACTCGCGCAGTGGTAAAGTTCTACGTTCAATTTCATTATGAACATCAGTCACATTGCAACTTCTACGGTCAGATTGCAAAGACAAATGCGACAGAAACGATTTACGTTTTTGCGCAATATGCAAGAAATTGGCATTGGCGAAATTACAGTTAAATTGTTTGTTAAATAGAAAATTTAGCCACGGCTGAAATTATTCACACAAATTTTGTTTTTCCGACCATGACAGATAGAAACTATGATTGTTCTTACTACACAATTTTAGGCTCAGCAAAGAAAATCTACAGGCGGTCAAAAAATGTCAGTGTCAAAAAAAATGGTTTGAAAGTTTGTTTTTCAAACTAAATGAACGGAACTTTACAAGTGACACGATGAGAGTCATTTGTAAACCAAGCGCAATTTAATTTCCTATAAATTAGTCTAGATATTATGTCGTCTGAGTTAACTAATTCAATCGCCCTTACTAGTAGCAAAAAGTCGACAGGAAGTTAAATAATTCAAATAGTACGAAATGTTCTTGACTATATATTTAATATGCAATTTCTGTGGAATCCGGAAAATTGATTGCTAACTAAAAGCCAAATTTATTGAGACCTTGTTTTGCAAATTTTACTTGGATTGATTCACGGTGTTTGTTTCCAGTCCGACTTTCGAAGAATTTAAGGATTATTTTAACTCGATAGTATTTTTTTTAAAATAAATTTCGGCTGCTCAGCTAACGATTTTGAAGAATTTTTTCCATTTTTCCATTTTGCCTTTTAACGTTTATGGAGCAGTAATAACATAACATAAAAAAATAAAAAAAAATAAAATGAAAAACTTTTTTTTCTAGAACTTGAAAATTTTTCTAAAAAAATCATCCCCCACATGCCATATAAAGTACAAAACAATAGATTTCGCTCCTTGTAACAAATCAATTATGGCAAATAAGCTTCTTTCAACCAATTTGGAACGATTTCTAAGACGGATTAAATCTTCGCTTACGCGTTAATAGCGCGAATTATATCGCGCGTTAATTGTCCCAAATTGGTCAAAATGGCAATCTTTAAACCCTCATAACTTCACAAAAAATGATCACAGGTGAAATATCTTTTCAAATTTAAACTCAGGACAACAATAGCTTTCGAATGATATACAAAATTTCCGTCAAAAATGGCTAGTTAAAAAGTCGAAATTTGTCTGAAGAAAAAAAACCCACCCCGAGCACAAATATTCCGTTACTTTCGTATCGAAAGTCGGAACAATAAAACCACCAGAGAAATGAGGCCAACCGATTGATCTAAAATTTGCGTTAATAAAAGCATCATATATAATTCACTACTAATGTTTAAAACCAAGGTGTTAAGTTTGTAACAATGGCATCCTGGTACACAAACGAACATGAGCGAATATGTGCACATTTTGTACTTGGGTAAAATGTCGAAAAAAATGGATAGGTTTTATAAGTAAAAACGTGCTGTGCTGTGCTTGGATGAGTTAAACTTATGATGAACTAGAAAACTTTTTTGAAACATTACGATTTCAGCTAATATAGCGCTAAGAGAAGCTTCAAAACCAGTTTTTCTCGCTGTACTCGCTCAAAATTGAGACCAAAAGATAAATTTTCTAACCTGTTTTTCTCGATTGAAAAGGCTCTAACATTATGCTTCACTCGGTCAATTCTGATGATTATTTGGAGTACCTGGTTCTACTTGTAAAATGTGTAAAAAAACTGATGCTCACCCGAAGTCGGAACAAAATTTCATCGCCGAGCTTGGCATAGTGGTGGAGGTCATCAAAGAACGTCCGTAAGCGTTAAGTGTGCTATCATAGAAAAATCCTTTCAGTAGTGATTCAGATTCAAAAAATCTATCGAGAAAAAGTGGTCGAATTTGTTTTGCTGTTCAGACTCAATTTACCACCATAGAAGTGAGTGCAAAGAGTTACTCCCACCTTTATTTCACAATTGTTTGACCTAGATTTTTTGCTAAAAGCAAAAGTCAACCAATCGCAGACCAAAATTTAAAAAAGAAGAAAAATAGTTGTTTTCGTTTTTAAACTTATTGCAGAAATAACTGTCCGGATCTTTCTGAGCTACTAGCTACTCTAATTACATATAGTTCTTTTTACATTCAAATTAAACCTGTGATTGTCCGTAGCTGTCCGTAGTGCAGTTTGTGACGTGAACAATCTGGTGCCGAATTCGCAATTTGCCTTTCCTGGTGATCATCACAGTAATCTAGCTACCACAGAAGACTCATCTAGGTCTCAACAGGTAAGTTCCAAAATATAAAAATTGTTGCTTCATGTCTTTTGACTCATTAATATTCATAATTTCCAGTTTTCTGGTGCACAAAATCAATCGATTCAATTTTGTAAGAAAATCATCTTAGGAGTCTTTATAAGCTTCAATACCATGTTCACAATGTCGCATGCAGAATTTTTTGGCCAGCCAATTTGAATTTTTCGAACTGTTACGAGCCATAAATGGACCATATTTAGCAAATAGTTTGCATTTCATCAGTGTTCGAAAAAAATGCCATTTGCGAGCACTTTTTGAAAGTTTTGACAAAATTTTTCATTGTTGCGCGTTTTCACCTCAAAATTAGAGTAAGCTGGCGCCCAAGGCATTGGTTTATTGAAAAAAATGTCTTTAAAGAGTAAAAAATGTGAAACTTTTCGAAATATTTGGCAAGCATGCTAGTTTTTTGTGTGTATGAAATTATCTCTGCAAGTAATTGACTGACAAAGAGTTGTAAGTTTCACTGTCCAAATCTGACCAATTTTAATTTCAAAAACTCGAAACTTCGAAGCAAAGACTGTTTCTCAAACCTAATGGTGGATATTGCCAAGTCTTTTTACACTTGCCAGAGTAAGTGGCTTGTAATCGGGAACTAGACTTTTTCCCCTGTAAACAACTTTTCCTACAAATTTTGAAGTTGCTTTATAAGTGAACCTTAGCAGCGACTAGA